CTAAAAATGACATATTATGTGGATAAACATTTTTGAAAATGTCAAGTTTTTGAAAATTTTCTAATTTTGGTGGATGTTGAAAAATTTTAAGTTTTGGAAAAATTGATATGTTTGAGATATACAAAAGATGTTTAAAGGGCATACGTGAGCCCGAAAACCCTTGAATTTTTTTTTACATTCTTATGTCAGAAATCTTATGTAGCAATTTAAAAATATCGAAAATAAGAAATCAACTTCGTTCAATTAATGTTTTCAATAAATGAAAAATGTGGATCCTGAAAGTTCTAAAATGTAAGTTTTTGAACTTTTTGAAAATTTTTACGTTTTATCAAGCTTGAAAAAATTTCTATTTTGGATAAATTTTGATGTTCTAAAATACACAAATGTTTGAAGGATGTACCTTTGTCTGAAAGCAACTGAAATTAAAAACTAGAAAAAATTAGAAAATTTGGAGACACTTGATTGAATGTTTTTATTCTTTGGTAAAGAATCATGCAAAAGTGAAGCAATTTAAAAATAATTAAAATAAAAAACCAACAACTTTGTTCAGTTCTATTCATATCCTTAGGATCTTAAAATTAATTGAATGTGAAATATTTTTTGAAGAAATGAAAAATTTGGTTCCACAATTTTCTAAAATCTTGATTTTTTTAAATTTTTACGTTTTATCAAGTTTCAAAAATCTTAAATTTTGGAGAAACCGATATGTGGAATACGTGAACATTGAGACCCTTGAAATTGATAAATAGAAAAATTTTGTAAATTCAGAGGCTCTTGAATTTTTTTATTCTTGTGTCAAAAATCACATAAAAATGTAGCATTTAAAAAGAATTTGAATTAAAAAAAACAACTTTGTTTAGTTCATGTCCATATCCTTGGAAACTTAAAATTAATTAAGTGTCAAATGTTTTCAATAAATAAAATATGTGGATTTAGGAATTTCTAAAATGTCGATTTTTTTAAGTTTTTTATAATTTTTACGTTTTATGAAGTTTGAAAAATTTTAAATTTTGGAAAAATTGATATGTTTTAAAGATACAAAGGTTTGAAGGTTATACGTGAACCTGAAAGCACTTGAAATTAGAAAATGGAAAAACTTGGAAAAATCAGAGACTTGATTTTGTTTATTCTTATGTCAAAATTCATATAAAAATGTAGCAATTTAAAAATCTTTCAAATACAAAACAACGTTGTTCAGTTCAGGTTTATATCCTTACAATCAATGAAAACCTAAAAATGACATATTATGTGGATAAACATTTTTGAAAATGTCAAGTTTTTGAAAATTTTCTAATTTTGGTGGATGTTGAAAAATTTTAAGTTTTGGAAAAATTGATATGTTTGAGATATACAAAAGATGTTTAAAGGGCATACGTGAGCCCGAAAACCCTTGAATTTTTTTTTACATTCTTATGTCAGAAATCTTATGTAGCAATTTAAAAATATCGAAAATAAGAAATCAACTTCGTTCAATTAATGTTTTCAATAAATGAAAAATGTGGATCCTGAAAGTTCTAAAATGTAAGTTTTTGAACTTTTTGAAAATTTTTACGTTTTATCAAGCTTGAAAAAATTTCTATTTTGGATAAATTTTGATGTTCTAAAATACACAAATGTTTGAAGGATGTACCTTTGTCTGAAAGCAACTGAAATTAAAAACTAGAAAAAATTAGAAAATTTGGAGACACTTGATTGAATGTTTTTATTCTTTGGTAAAGAATCATGCAAAAGTGAAGCAATTTAAAAATAATTAAAATAAAAAACCAACAACTTTGTTCAGTTCTATTCATATCCTTAGGATCTTAAAATTAATTGAATGTGAAATATTTTTTGAAGAAATGAAAAATTTGGTTCCACAATTTTCTAAAATCTTGATTTTTTTAAATTTTTACGTTTTATCAAGTTTCAAAAATCTTAAATTTTGGAGAAACCGATATGTGGAATACGTGAACATTGAGACCCTTGAAATTGATAAATAGAAAAATTTTGTAAATTCAGAGGCTCTTGAATTTTTTTATTCTTGTGTCAAAAATCACATAAAAATGTAGCATTTAAAAAGAATTTGAATTAAAAAAAACAACTTTGTTTAGTTCATGTCCATATCCTTGGAAACTTAAAATTAATTAAGTGTCAAATGTTTTCAATAAATAAAATATGTGGATTTAGGAATTTCTAAAATGTCGATTTTTTTAAGTTTTTTATAATTTTTACGTTTTATGAAGTTTGAAAAATTTTAAATTTTGGAAAAATTGATATGTTTTAAAGATACAAAGGTTTGAAGGTTATACGTGAACCTGAAAGCACTTGAAATTAGAAAATGGAAAAACTTGGAAAAATCAGAGACTTGATTTTGTTTATTCTTATGTCAAAATTCATATAAAAATGTAGCAATTTAAAAATCTTTCAAATACAAAACAACGTTGTTCAGTTCAGGTTTATATCCTTACAATCAATGAAAACCTAAAAATGACATATTATGTGGATAAACATTTTTGAAAATGTCAAGTTTTTGAAAATTTTCTAATTTTGGTGGATGTTGAAAAATTTTAAGTTTTGGAAAAATTGATATGTTTGAGATATACAAAAGATGTTTAAAGGGCATACGTGAGCCCGAAAACCCTTGAATTTTTTTTTACATTCTTATGTCAGAAATCTTATGTAGCAATTTAAAAATATCGAAAATAAGAAATCAACTTCGTTCAATTAATGTTTTCAATAAATGAAAAATGTGGATCCTGAAAGTTCTAAAATGTAAGTTTTTGAACTTTTTGAAAATTTTTACGTTTTATCAAGCTTGAAAAAATTTAAATTTTGGAAAAATTGATATGTTTTAAAGATACAAATGTTTGAAGGTTATACATGAACCTGAAAGAATTTGAAATTAGAAAACAGAAAAATGTAGAAAAATCGAAGTTTTGATTTTTTTATTTTTATGTCATGTGCATGTAGATATCCTTAGGAACTTAAAATTCATTGAATGTTAAATGTTTTTTTTGTTTTTTTTTTTTGAATAATTGACAAATGTGACTCCTGAAAGTTCTAAATTGTCCCTTTTTAAATTTTTGAAACCCTGATTTCTTCTTCACCTGAAATCAGGAATTAGAAAAATTTAGAAAATTCAGAGAATAAATGAAAAATGTGGATACAGACAGTTTTTGAACTTTTTGAAAAATTTTACAGTCGGATCCTTGAGAACTTAAAATTAATTAAGTGTCAAATATTTTCAACAGATGAACTATGTGGATTTAGAAATTTCTAAAATGTCGATTTTTTTGAAATTTTTGAAAATTTTTACGTTTTATCAAGTTTGAAAAATCTTATATTTTGGGTAAATTTAGATGTTCTAAAATACACAAACATTTGAAGGATACACCTTTATCTGAAAGCAACTGAAATTAAAAAATAGAAAAAATTTGTAAATTTGGACACTTGAATTTTTTTATTCTAGTCAAACATGTAGCAATGTAAAAATAGTTCAAATAAAAAAAAACAACCTTGTTCAGTTCATATTCATATCCTTAGGATCTTAAAATTAATTGAATGTGAAATATTTTTTGAGGAAATGAAAAATGTGGTTCCAGAATTTTCTAAAATCTTGAATTTTTTTAATTTTTACGTTTTATCAAGTTTCAAAAATCTTAAATTTTGGAGAAACCGATATGTGGTATACGTGAACATTAAAACACTTGAAATTGAGAAATAGAAAAATTTTGAAAATTCAGAGGCCCTTGAATTTTTTTATTCTTGTGTCAAAAATCACAAAAAATGTACTTTGTTTAGTTCATGTCCATATCCTTGGAAACTTAAAATTAATTAATGAGTTCAATAATTGAAATATGTAGAGCTCGAAATTTCTAAAATGTCGATTTTTTGAAAATTTTTACGTTTTCAAATTTGATAAAATACACAAATGTTTCAAGGATGTACCATTATCTGAAAACAACTGAAATTAAAAAATAGAAAAAAATTAGAAAATTTGTGGATCCAAATTCCTAAAATGTCGAATTTTTGAAGTTTTTAAAAAATTTTACGTTTTATTAAGTTTGAAAAATTTTAAATTTTGCAAAAACTGATATGTTTTAAATTTTCAAATATTTGAAAGAAATAAGTGAAATGTGCAATGTTTTCAATATATGAAATTATGAATCCAAAAATCTCAAAAATGTGGAGTTTTTGAAATTTTTGAAAGTTTAGATATTTACTATTATTTATTTTGTAATAATAAATTCAAAAACATCGAAAATTTGGAAAACTCGCATTATAAAAATTTGCCCTAGAGGAAGTATATATTTATCATTTTCAAACTGAGATAAGACAAATGTCAAACTATACGTGTTCGTGGAAACACTTAAATAAATCCAAGAGAATGCATCGCAAGATAACATCCAAATATATTAAAAATCAATTAAAATCCAGATAATCAAAAAATAAGATCAGATCTGAAGATATTCATTCTGTGAGCATAATAATAAAACAAGATTGATCGAAAATCTAATCTACGCCGTACAAGCCGACACTAGAACGTCGCCTCCCCACTTGACGTCGTTTCCTTAATCCTCGTCAGCACGAACCAACCCCGCAAACTTTTTTTACTGGCCTGATTTTGATCCGATTGTTTTACTTTTTCGCCCTCAGCCCAAACCCCTTCAATTATCCCTCCGGCGATCGATCCGCGTCTTGTCTCCGCCGACATCGAGGACCTTCGCCGTGTTTGCAGAACTCAATTAAAAATAATTGCGTTGTTATTTTCTATCCGTATTGTTTTTAAATTGGTTCCTTTGTCCGGCTCCCTCGGGTGTCACAGGAATCGCCGACAGTAGGAAATTTCATTAAAAGAGCCGCGCCATCAAACCGTCTCTGTGTTTTATGTACTTTACGTTTTATGTCTTCTACTTTGATTTTCTTTTTATTTAGTTCCCTTGTGTTGGTTTTCTTTTCGTTGTTGAACGATAGAGTAGTTGTGTTACTGTGTTGTTGGTTGTTTTCTGCTGCTAATAAAGGGAGCACACTCGCCAGGTCCTCGAACCCTCTCCATGGGTATCTACCCCATACAGAATATGAACACGCGTATCCTCGACCACCAGGACGTAAGTTGATGGTTTCCTTCAAACCCGTAGCATTTGTGTTTCGTTTGTGGGTCGACCAGTAGGAATTGTGGACGTTAGTTGACTCATTTTTCTTAGGGGGACTTTGGAGTTGGTTTAAAAAAATAATTTAAAATCTTTGTTAATAAGCGAGGTATTGCTACATTGTGTTGTGAAACTCAAAGAATTATGTCTTGATCCGGTGCCAACTCCGCCGCCGAAAGTCCCCCAAACACGAACCCTACAAACATTTACACAATTACTTATGACATCATTATCATTATTCTGTCACTCGTCGCTTAATATTTGCTTAAGTCATTTGTGACATCCATTAACAGCTTAGTGCAGATTGTTAGTGACTAACTCGCACGTTGTGATGAGAACTAGATAGTTTAAAACTTGGTTCCTGATCTTTGATTTTAATTCTGTGGTGTCGCCAAACGCGCGGTAAACAAACAGCAGCCAACTGCGGCCAGTTCAACTCAACCGGCGATTTTTCCAACGCTGGCGGTTCCCCTCTGCTTCTACTATCCGAACTAAAACAGATGAACGGGGTCAACGTTTGGGAAAATTTCCAGCTTTTCGTTGCGAAAAATTTGACACAGAAATATATCGGAGATAATTATTTTAGCCCCCTTTCGACCGATACGATACGCTATCGGTGGGTTTTGTCATAAAATTAATTATGGGAGAGCCGGAGGCGGCTCGTTCGCCGATTATTAACGCTCGGCTGGGTCTCGCCGCCGGCCTTTCTGCATTAATTGGGGCGATAATTGCGCCCCTCAGGGCACGCTTTTCGGGCCGATGTTGTCACGTCCAGTCGCAAAATCTAGAAAAACGCTTCCTGGGCGTGTCGTTGCCGTTCGGTTGGGTGCTGTTGACTAAAACTGGCTTTTTACCGCGCGTTTCAAACTATACCAAGCGGACTGAAAACATTTCCTTGATGGTGTTTAGCTCTTAACACTGTGGTCCTGGCTACCAGTAAGGATAACGATGTACCAACCGATATTGCTATACACGACAGAAGAACACGGATGTTCACTCACCACTTTCTACGTCCGAGTGGAACACCACGAACCAACGCTACTCATGATCAAAACGTGCAACAATGAGGTAAGTGCTGGGTGAACTTGTGGCTGTGTAAGCGGCGCTTTAGTGTGGAAATAAAATTTCGGATGGTTCTGTTTTAGGTTTTCGGCGCCTATTGCTCTTCTCGATGGGGTGAAAGGAACCAAAAAGACGATAGGGGTAATAGACAGGCGTATTTTGGGACCGGAGAAACTTTCCTGTTTTCGCTGTATCCGGAGAGGGCAAAGTACCAATGGGTTGGTATTGAAGGCGATAAAGTAGGGCACGGGGCGGAGTTATTTATGGCCGCAGATTCGAAGATGATCACCATAGGGGGAGGGTGAGTATCGAGGGGTGTAAAAAACACCTGAAGTATAGTGTGAGTCAAGGGTCTGTTCTGGCGCATTTACGTTTCTCCGACTTTGTTAATGATCCATTGATTCCATCGGGCGCATCATGTTTTCTCGACGTTTCACGACCGTTCATAATCTCCGAAACTACTGGAGCGATTGTTACCAGATTTTGACTAATCGTCCCCACCAAACATATGATGACCTTCGTTCATTATATTGTAGAATTAACATTGCCAAAATCGTATGAAATAATAATACTTTACTCCTGTACTTGCGGTTTACGAATCTATCTTGATTTTGTTTATTATTATATTTGTTTATTGTTTAATCCGCCTTACGATCCACAATTTTTTTTCGATAGATCAAATAAATTAATAAAATAATCAGTCACTCGATTTTTAGATTTTTTTATTTTTCGAGTCTTCAATTTTCCCGTTTCTCATTTGCCGATGTTTCGATTTTCGATTTTCCAATTATTCGATTTTTTTATTTAAATTTTTCGACTTTTCTATTTCTCGATCTTTTAATTTTTCGATGCTTCAGTTCTAGAATCTTTCAACATTTCGATTTTTCAATTATTCATTTTGCGATTTCTCGATTTTTAGATATTTCACAATTGATTTTTTAATTTCTCGAATTTTCGATTACTCAAATTTTTCGATACTTCAATGTTTTATTTCAATTCTTCAATTTTTTATTTTTCGATTTCTCAATTTTTCGATTTTTCAAATGTTAAATTTTTCGATTTCTTAATTTTTTCGTTGTTCGATTTTTCAATTTTCCAATTCTTCAAATTTTAAATTTTAGATTTTTCAATTTCTCGGTTTTTTTTTCGATTTTTCGATTACTCAGTTTCAACATTTTAATTTTTTGGATTTTTCTATTCTTCAATTTTCCTTCAGTTTTTCAAGTTTTGGAATTTTTCAGTATTTCAATTCTTCAATTTTTTAAGTTTCGATTTCCCGATTTTTCAATTTTTCTACATTTTAATCTTTTGATTTTTAAATTCTAGATTTTTCGAATTCTCGATCTTCCAGTTTTCCGATACTTTAGTTTTGGAATCTTTCAATACTTCATTCTTCTATTTTTTGTTTCGATTTTTCAATTTTTTAATTCATCGATGTTTTTAATTTTAGATTTTGCAACTTCTCAATTTTTTTTTTCAATTTTTTATTTCTCAATTTTTCGATTACTCAATTTTTTAATCCTTCAGTTTTGGAATTTTTCAGTTTTTTCGTGTTTCAATTTCTCGATATTTCAACTTTTCGAAATTGTCATCTTTTGAATATTTTAAATGTTAGATTTTTCGATTTTTGGATTTTCGACTTAACTTCTGGATTTTTCAATTTTTCATTTCTCGATTTTCCAAATTTTCGATTACTTAACTTTTCGATTTCTGGATTATTTCTTCGGTTCTTCAATTTTTCTTCGATCTTTTAGTTTTTCGATTTCTGAATGTACATATCGATTTTTTCAATTTTTAAATTCTATTTCTATACTTCAAATTTGGAAGTTTTCAATATTTCAATTCCTCGGTCTTTTGATATTTTAGATTTTTAGATTTTCCAGTTCTAGGATTTTTTAAATTTAAGATGTTTGGGTTTTCTGATATTTCGATTTTTCGACTCGGTTTTTAAATTTTTCGATTTCTGGATTATTCGATTTTTCAGCTTCTCTACTTTTTGATTTCTCGATTTTTGGATGGTTCAATTTCTCGATTTTTTTCCATTTTTAATTTCTCGTATTTTCGATTACTCAGGTTTTCAAAACTTCAGTTTTGGAATGTTTCAATATTTTTCTTGGATTTTTCAATTTTTCGATTTTTTAAGTTTTAGATTTTTCCATTTTTAATTTTTCAGTTGTTCGATTTTTCAATTTTCCAATTCTTCGAATTTTTAAATTTTAGATTTTTCAATTTCTCGTTTTTTTTTTTAATTTTTCGATTTTTCGATTACTCAGTTCTTCGATCATCGTAATTTTTCAGTTTTTCAACAATTTCATTTATTGGATTTTTTAAAATTTAGATTTTCCGATTTCTCGAATTTTCGACTTAGAATATGAGAATCTTTCAATTTTTCGATTCAATTTTGCCAGGCTTTTTCAGTTTTTCAATTTCTGAAGTTTTCGACATTTCTAAGTTTTGGAATTTTTCAGTTTTTCAGTTCTTCAATTTTTTTAAATTTCAAATTCTGAATTTTCAAATTTTTCTACATTTTAATTTTTAGATTTTTTAATTTTCAGATTTTTCGATGTCTGATCTTTCGATTTTTCGACTCGGTTTTTCCATTTTTTCAATTTTCCGATTTTTCGGCTTTTCGATTTTTTGATTTTTCACATTTCTTTATTTCCTGATACTTCGATCCTTCGATTTCCCGATTTTTTAGTTTTTCACTTTTTCTTCAATTATGCATACGATTTTTTTATTTAATTTCAATTTTTCGACTTTTCGATTTCGCTCTCTTTCAGTTGTTCGAAGCTTCAGTTTTAGAATTTTTCAATATTTCAGTTTTGGAATCTTCCAGTATTTCAATTCTTATTTTTCAATTTTTCGATTTTTTAAATTTTAGATTTTTCAATTTCTCGATTTTTTTTCAATTTTAATGTCTCAATTTTTCGATGATTCAATCTTTTTAATACTTCAAATTTGGAATTTTTCAATATTTCATTTCCTCAATTTTTTAATTTTTCAATTTCCCGATTTTTTGATTTCTCCATTTTTGAAATTTTTGACTTGATTTCTTAATCTTTAAATTTTTTATTTCTCGATTTTCAAATTTTCGATTACTCAAATTTGCGATATTTCCGTTTTAGAATTTTTCAATATTTCGATTCTTCATTTTTCGATACTTCGACTTTTGGAATTTTTTAATATTTGAATCCTTCAATTTTCTTAAGTTTCGATTCTGGATTTTTCAATTTTTCGATTTTTTAAATTTCAGATTTTTCGATTTCTCAATTTTTCAGTTTATCGATGTTTCAATTTTTAATTTCTTGATTTCCCGACTACTCAATATTTCGATTTCTCGATTTTTAAAATTTTAGATTTTTCGATTTTTCAATTATTTGATGTTTCGATTTCCCGATATTTCGATTTTTCGACTCGGTTTTTCCATTTTTCAATTTTTAAAATTTTTGATTTTTCAATTTTTGGTTTTTTAAATTTTTCGATTTCTGGATTATTCGATTTGTCAAATTCTTGACTTTTTGATGGTTTGATTTCTGGATTTTTCGATATTTCAATTTTGAGGTTTTTAATTTCTCGCATTTTCGATTACCCAATTTTTCGATACTTCAGTTTTGGAATGCCTCAAATATTTCAATTCTTCAATTTTTTTATGCTTCAATTTTTAAATCTTAGAATTTTCGGTTTTTTGATTTTTCAATTTTTCGAAATTCAGTTTTTAATTCCAGATTTGGAACTTTTCAATATTTTAATTCCTCAATTTTTTTGATATTTCGATTTCTCGATTTTTTAATTTTACATTTTCATTTTTTGTTGTTTTTTTTTAATTTTAGATTTTTGATTTCTCGATCTTTCATTTTTTTTATTCTTCAATTTTTCAGTTTTTCGATTTCCCAATTTTTCGATAATTCACTTTTGGGATTTTTTGGTTTTTTTATTTTTCAGTTTTTTAAATTATAGATTTTTCAATTTTTTTGTTTCGATTTCTGGATCTTCCGATTTTTCTTCTCCTTTTTTCCATTTTTCGATTTTAGATTTTAGTTTTGGAATTTTTGAATTTCTGTATTTTCAGTTTTTCGATTCTTCTATTTTTAGTTTTTAAAATTCTCGATTTTTCGACTTTTCGATTATACGATCTTTTGATATTTCGATTTCTCCACGTTCAATTCTAAATTTTACGGTTTTTCAATTTTTCGATTTTTAAAATTTTTGATGTTTCGATTTTTCAAGTTTTCAATTTATCGATTTTTTCAAATTTTGAATTTTTCAATTTTTTATTCTACGAATTTAGTGTTTAATATTGTTTCGATTTGTCAATTTTTCGACTTCTCAACTTTTCAATTTCTCGATCTTTTGATGTTTGATTTCCCAATTTTTTGACATTCCAGTTTTGGGATTTTTCAGTTTTTCGATTTTTCATTTCTTTGGTTTTTCAATTATTTTTCGATTTCTCGATGTTTCAAACTTGGATTTTTTCAAAATTTCAACTATAGAAATTTTTTAATTTTAGATTTTTTGACTATCAGATTTTTAAAAATTTTTAAGTTCCGGTTTTAGATTTTTCAATTATTTGATATTTCGATTTTTCGATATTTCGATTTTTCGACTCGGTTTTTCCATTTTTTAATTTTTAAAATTTTTGATTTTTCGATTTTTGGTTTTTTAAATTTTTCGATTTCTGGATTTTTCGATATTTCAGTTTTGAGATTTTTAATTTCTCGCATTTTCGATTACCCAATTTTTCGATACTTCAGTTTTGGAATGTCTCAAATATTTCAATTCTTCAATTTTTTTATGCTTCAATTTTTAAATGTTGGAATTTTCGGTTTTTTAATTTTTCAATTTTTCGAATTTCAGTTTTTAATTCCAGATTTGGAATTTTTCAATATTTTAATTCCTCAATTTTTGTTTTTTTTTTAATTCTAGATTTTTTGATTTCTCGTTTTTTCGACTTAGATTTCTCGATCTTTCAGTTTTTTTATTCTTCAATTTTTCAGTTTTTCGATTTCTCAATTTTCGAATATTTCACTTTTGGGATTTTTTTGTTTCGATTTCTGGATCTTCCGATTTTTCTTCTCCGTTTTTCCGTTTTTCGATTTTTAAAGATTCCGATTTTTCAATTTTTTCGATATTTTAAATTTTAGATTTTTCAATTTTCTGACTTTTCGGCTTTTCAATTTTTTGGCTTTCCAATATTTCGATGGTTCGATGTTCCAATTTTTCAAGATTTTAGTTTTGGAATTTTTGAATTTCTGGATTTTCAGTTTTTCGATTCTTTAATTTTTCGATTTTCCGATTTCTCTT